CAATCAAAAAATTCTTATACAGTGAGGAACAGAAGTATTTGAACACCCTGCGATTTTGCAAGTTCTCCCACTTAGAAATCATGGAGGGGTCTGAAATTCACATTGTAGGTGCATTCCCACTCTGAGAGACAGAATTTAAAAAAAAAATTCAGGAAATCACATTGTATTATTTTTAAAGAATTTATTTGTCTTGCACTGCTGAACATAAGTATTTGAACACCTGAGAAAATCAGTGTTAATATTTGGTACAGAAGCCTTTATTTGCAATTACAGAGGTCAAACGTTTCCTGTAGTTCTTGACCAGGTTTGCACACACTGCAACAGAAATTTTGGCCCACTCCTCCACACAGATCTCCTCTAGATCTGTCAGGTTTCGGGGCTGTCGCTGAGCAACCCGGAGTTTCAGCTCCCTCCAAAGATGTTCTATTGGATTTAGGTCTGGAGACTGGCTAGGCCACTCCAGAACCTTGATATGCTTCTTACGGAGCCACTTCTTGGTTATCCTGGCTGTGTGCTTCGGGTCGTTGCCATGTTGGGAAGACCCAGCCAGGACCCATCTTCAATGCTCTCACTGAGGGAAGGAGGTTGTTGCTCAAAATCTCACAATATTTCATCTGGTTTGGATCAAGCCGGCCATACTATACTTTGAGCAATAATCATTTATTGGCGATATTATTGTCATATTATTGGGACAGTGTCTAACCATGTGCTAATACCTATTTGGCTAATAATAAAATACTACACTATATTAGCCTTTTTTCTTGGTGGCTTATTTTTTGGAGCTGCTCAAGTTAGAGGTTTAGCGTCATTAAGTGGCTGTGGTATCCATATCGAGGGTTTGTCCCTTTCACTGTGAGGGTCCAGCGGAAAGGTCTGAAGTCCGGTCAAGAGTGTAGGGTGAAGTACCATATCCCCATCACTTTCCAGATGCCCTACAGGAATACCTTTACATGCACAAACTGGTTGTGCGTCTGGTGAGTGCAAGCACACCTTTTTTGCCTTTACCACAAGGACTCACGAGCACCATATTTATTGAATATGTCGAAGAAAAGCTGAGATGTTGTCTCATGATTTGCAGCAGTATTGTCAGTGTACACTGCTTTAAAATAAATGATTTGCATGGATGTGCTCACTATCTTAAAATGGCATAAAACCCTTGTTTTTTTTGGATTTGTAATGAAAGTGAAACATGTAGACATCTTAGTCAACTGGCCAAAAAACATGTATAATTTAAATATATCATTTGTTTAAAGAGGAGCTTCATCCAGGTTTCCATAAGTTAAAAGTCAGCAGCTACAAAAATTGGTCTTTTGGTCCCTGGCACCAGCATGTTGACTGTGGGAAGCCAGCCGTGACTTCTTGCAGCTTCACAGCCAGCTCCACACTAAGCATATATGAGCCCCTCTGCACCTTGTGAATGGACCCACAGCCTCCTAAGACCTGTGATGGTTGTGGGCAGGGAGGGGGGAGAACTTCCACCCCGATCACCTAGATCAGGGGTCCTCAAACTTTTTAAACAGGGGGCCAGTTCACTGTCCCTCAGACTGTTGGAGGGCCGGACTATAGTTTCAAGAAAAAAAAAAAATGCGGACACAGTACAGGAGATGACCAGAGACTGCAGACATACAACGGCAGCGGGAATACTGGGCCGGCCGCTCCATAAGACGCACAGAAATTTCCCCCCAAGTGTGTCTTATAGAGCGAAATAGTGCCCCATCATTGGTGTCAGTGGGAGGAATAGTGCCCCATCATTGGTGTCAGTGGGAGGAATAGTGCCCCATCATTGGTGTCAGTGGGAGGAATAGTGCCCCATCATTGGTGTCATTGGGAGGAATAGTGCCCCATCATTGGTGTCAGTGGGAGGAATAGTGCCCCATCATTGGTGTCAGTGGGAGGAATAGTGCCCCGTCATTGGTGTCAGTGGGTGGAATAGTGCCCCATCATTGGTGTCAGTGGGAAGAATCGTGCCGCATCAGTGTCAGTGGGAGGAATTGTGCCCCATCATTAGTGTCAGTGAGAGGAATAGTGCTCCATCACTGGTGTCAGAGGGAAGAAACGTGCCCCATCATTGGTGTCAGTGGGAAGAAATGTGCCCCATCATTGGTGTCAGTGGGAGGAATAGTGCCCCATTATTGGTGTCAGTGGGAAGAATCGTGCCCCATCATTGGTGTCAGTTCGAGGAATAGTGCCCCATCATTAGTGTCAGTGGGGGGACGAATAGTGCCCCATTATTGGTGTCAGTGGGGGGAGGAATAGTGCCCCATTGTTGGTGTCAGTGTGGGGGGGGGGGAATAGTGCCCCGTCATTGGTGTCAGTGGGGGAAGGGGATAGTGTCCCAACATTGGTGTCAGTGGGAGGAATAGTGCCCCATCATTGGTGTCAGTGGGAAGAATAGTGCCCCATCATTGGTGTCAGTGGGAAGAATAGTGCCCCATCATTGGTGTCAGTGGGAGGAATAGTACATCATTGGTGTCAGTGGGGGGAATAGTGCTCCGTCACTGGTGTCAGTGGGAGGAATAGTACGTCATTGGTGTCAGTGGGGGGGGGGGAATAGTACCCCATCATTGGTGTCAGTGGGAGGAATAGTGTCCCATCATTGGTATCAGTGGAAGGAATAGTATCCCATCATTGGTGTCAGTGGGAAGAATAGTGCCCCATCTTTGGTGTCAGTGGGAGGAATAGTACGTCATTGTGTCAGTGGAGGGGAATAGTGCCCTGTCATTAGTGTCAATGGGCTGGATAGTTCCCAACATTGGTGTCAGTGGGAGGAATCGTGTTCCATCGTTGGTGTCAGTGGGAGGAATAGTGTCCCCATCATTGGTGTCAGTGGAGGGTGGTAGGAATAGTGCCCCATCGTTGGTGTCAGTGGGGGAAGGAATAGTGTTCCATTGTTGGTGTCAGTGGAGGGTGGAATAGTGCCCCATCGTTGGTGTCAGTGGGGGGGGAGGAATAGTGTCCCATCATTTGGTGTCAGTGGGGGCAGGAATAGTGCCCCTTCATTGGTGTCAGTGGGGGAATAATGCCCCATCATTAGTATCAGTGACACCAATGATGGGGCACTATTTCTCCCACTGACACCAATGACATTGTAACTTGCTGACCCCTGCTCCAGCCTAGGTGCTACTGCAGCCAGCATACCTGGTTGCAGCAGCACCATCAGCACGATACAATTACCTGTCAGCTGTCCTTCTTCACTCCGGCCTCTCTCTCTCACTCGATGTTCAAGGGGCCGCTCGGCTCCGCCTCCTCGCAGGTGATTGGCCACCTGTGTGCCTTTCCTGAGCTACAGTTCTGGCGCCCAATCACCGGTGAGGAGGCGGAGCCGAGTAGCAGGAGTGAGAGAGTGGCCGGAGTGAATGAAGGAGCAGCGCTTCCTGGACTGGATCGTCATGGGACTGGGACCGGAGCCAGGTAAGGTACAGCAGCCCCCTGCCCGCCCCTGTACTTAGTGTCCACTTCTGTCCCGCCCCTGCCAGCAGGCCGGATAAATGGCTTCGGTGGGCCGTAGTTTTAGTTTGAGGACCCCTGGCCTTGATGGTCGGTGCGGGAGTGGGTACCCCTAAAAACTAGGTACCCACTCCCCCAAATATATATATATATACTGTGTACAGTAATAACAGATAATGTCCCAAAGAGCTAACAGATACATTCAAATTAAAGCTGTCTTATTGCTGGAACACATTGCACTCTGAATTATATAGGAAACGGGGCATAGGCGCAAAGACGACAGCCCATGCATTAGGGAGAAGAAAGGTAAAAAACAAGATATTCTCACTGTGAAAAGTGGAAGAGAGAGAAATAGGAAAAAAGGGGGTGGAAGGAAAGGGAAAAAAAAAAATTGATACTAGAGGGGGGCCACACCAAATTGTAACCAGACCTCAGAGAGAAGCTCCATTCAGGTTTAAAAGGTCTAAGGGGGTCTCCATTAGAGTTTGGTATTCAGCAGAGAAACCCATGCCAATAAAAACCATTCAGTCAATATCAGGTCCTCCAACCTATAAATATCAACATTTTTTGCCAGCCATTTCACATCGGAGAGGGGATGCCATTGTTTCCAAGAGTCTGGGATACAGTTTTGTGTCGTGTTGACCAGCAGAGGCAAAATAGAGCTGCGTAATGACGTGCTCAGGAAAGTAATGTGGTGCAACAAGAAAAAGGCAGGCTCTCGAGGGACTGGATGATCTGTGAGGGACCTTGTGCTCTATGAATTCTGTGTCAAGGATTAATTTATGAGTTGGTATTTATTTGTGAAATAAAAAATTTTATGTAAATGGTTAAAGCGATACTAAAGGCTTACATTTTTTTTTCTGCAAACAAACATGTCTATACTTACCTGCTGTGTGCAGTGGTTTTGCACAAAGCTGCCCAATTCTCCTCTTCTCAGGTCCACCGCAGGCTCTCCTGGCCCCTCCCTCCTGTTGGGTGCCCCCACATCAAGTAGATTGCTATGGGGGCACCCTGTTCTCTGTGTGTCCATTCACACATAGAGCCGTGGCTCTAATTGGCTTGGCCCCAATCCCTCTCTCTTCTCATTGGCTCACTGGCTGTGATTGACACACTCAATGAGGAAAGGGAGTCCCAGGCTAGCCAAGACTCCTGTGCACATAGCTGGATCAAGAGGGGGCTTAGGTGAGTATTAGGGGGATTGGGGGGGGCTGCTGCACAGAGAAGGTTTTTTACCTTCATACATAGAATGCATGAAGGAAAAAACCTTTACAACACCACTTTAAAAATATATACCAATAACACTGAAGTGTTATAAACAAAAAGTAAAATACAATTGACCAAAACAGTATATATAATAGTATTTATATACTTTTTTAGCTATACATATGAATATATTCTGAATAGCTTTTATATCATAATTAGAGATGAGCGAAGTATTCAAAAATTCGATTCGGCTGATTCGGCGAATTCGCGGAATAAATTCGTTTCGAGTCGAATATATTCGCTGCGAATTTAACTTATAAAAAAGGGTGTTTCTAGGCTTCAGAGAGCCTTTATATTAGTGCAAGAACACTGTACCTTTAATTTAAATGCCCTTGAAGTCTGCTGGGGAAGAGAAATAATACTGTCAGTCAGTATGACATGCAGATGAGTGCCGTCGATCTTAGAATCACCGCACACTTCACTCATTTGGGCAGTCCACGGGGCCAAAATCAGAGTGTGGAGCCACAGTGTGGTGGTGGAGGCAGCAGCAATGGGAGGCCATACAGCACCCTATGACACAAAATGGAAACCCACCAGCAGTGTGAGGAGACCTGAAAGTGGCACATGGCAGAGTTGTGGCGATGGAGACAGCAGCAATGGGAGGCCGTACAGGGACCCATGACACACTCTGGACCTGGCAGCAGCATGAGGAGGCGGGTACAGGGGCCCATGACAGATTACGGGCGTGGCAGCAGCATGAGCAGTCGGTACGGGGGCCCATGGCAGATTACGGGCCTGGCAGCAGCAATGGGAGGCCCGTAATCTTCCAGCACCCTATGGACAAAATGGAACCCACCATACGCAGTGTGGAGGAGACCTGAAAGTGGCACATGGCAGAGTGTGGCGATGGAGACAGCAGCAATGGGAGGCCGTTACAGGGACCCATGAGAGACCTCTGGACCTGGCAGCAGCATGAGGAGTCGGTATGGGGGCCCATGGCAATTAACGGGCCTGGCAGCCA